GTCCACATTCACTTAATCACTGCCTTTACAGAAAAGTACACCATCTTTGAATTTGTCTTATAATCTGTAGTCCAGAAACTGTTTTCTCTCATCAAAGAATAAACCTCTAGCCTTTTGCCAAGCTGGAGATGGACAATTGTCTAGCTGGTAGAGATCTGGGTGGGGGATGCAGTGGCCCTGCTGTTCCCCAGACCAACTTCTGTGCAGTCCTCTTCGAGCCCCTCCTCACTTTCCTCCCGCCCCCTGACTGAACAGTTGCCTCCAATTCCTGAGGCTTCTGCCTGTGCCCCATGGAGATCAAGGGCTATTTTTTTTCTCTACTGGTACATCTTTCCTCTTCTTGAGCCCACCAGATAAGGCTGTCTGTCTCTTCTCTGCCTGTTTCACTGATTTTATTGCAGCTCTTTTTCTCTGAGCCCATGTCCTTGTGCACATACGCCTTAAGACATCTAGTTTCTGCTATTTTCATAGTTTCAGTGAGTGGCACTGGGTGGGTGGTTTAACGGGTATTTTTAACTGCAAGGCTCCCAGAGGCTTCTTTTTCAAATGCAAAATCAAAGCTGAGAGAGAGGAAGGACATGGTGGGGTCCTAAAAACCCCAGAGTTCTCCTTTTTTGAGGAGGATGGGAGGACCTGAATATAGCTCAAATACCTGCAAATCTGACTATGATTAATTGAAGGCTTGGATTAAATTGAGAGAAATGGGCTTGAGGTCAGATATTCCTGAGGATATGACTAGCTCTGCCAATGTCCACCAGTTTTACCCTGGGGGCCTCAGTTTTCTTATCTGTAAGATGGGAATAACACCCATTCTGCAAGATGGGAATAACACCCATCTTGTTGGGCTGTGTGTGGGAGGTGACTGCAAATAGCATGTGTCAAGTAAGTGCCTATACTGGGCCCTGTAAGTGTATAATAGGTGCACACTAAATACAAGTCCTCATGTCCTTCCCCATGGACTAGAGGCTGTACCAGAGTGGACAACATGTCTCCATCCCCAGGCCAGGGCCCCACCTGTGGGCAGGTCCTGCAGCAGACGGACTCACAAGCCCCAGCAGGCCAGCTGAGTGATAGGCATGGCATGCCACCCTGCCGGTCTGTCGAGACGCAGTAAAACCTGGAGAGTCATAGGGGCTTGAGTCATTCCCTTTAACTGGAATGCTTGGACTAGGGACATCTCTTTTCCTGCCAGGTTTGGTCCTCAGGTCTCGTTACCTGAGACGACCTGTGTTCCTTCAGATGGAAGAGCTTTAGCATTTAGACTGGTGGCACGGTGGAGCCTGGTGGAGCTCTGAAGTCTGGGACAGGGCCCTGTCATTACCTTGCTATCAAAGGTCATGTATTTCACGACTGGTTCAGGGATCTGCTAAAAAATGTTATATACCTTTGTCATTTCAATGCCCATGAATTAATAATACCAAATAATGATGTACTGTTAAGCAAGCACTTGATAACTAACTTAAGCTTCATAACCCCCTCTAGATGATGCTATAATGATAACAATTTTCTAGACTTAGGAACTTGAGGCAAAGATGTGGCATAACATGTATGAGGTTGTACAGCTAGTAAGTTGCACTGGATTTAAACACAGGCACCTAGTTCTAGAGTCCACACTCCCAAAACATTATGTAAAGTACTTTCTGTCAAAAAGGAGTATTTACTGAGCCACTAGTGTGATTTAAGGGAACTATTTTACTTAAGCAGTGGTTTCTGACTGGGAACACTTTTGCTCCTGAGGACACCTTTGGCAATGTCTAGAGACACTGTCAGGTTGTCATAACTAGGGGTGGGCATTGCTGTTGGCATCTGGTGGGGAGAGACGGAGGATATTGCTGAACTCCTCGATATATGAGACAACAAAGGTTTATCCTGTCCCAAATGTCACTAGTACAGAAGAGAAATCCTGATGTGGGCCTGTGAGGTGACAGTACACCTTCTAGTTAAGCATACAGAACCTGAGACTGAAAGGCGGTGGACACAGTAGTGCTGGAAGGGACACTGGAAGCAGGCCTGTGCTTCGGAGTCTGTGCCTGCCCCTTTTGGCTCTGGAGACGTCTCACTGCAACCCGTTTTGCTCTTTCCCCCATCCTAGCTTTTATTTTGGAGACTATGTGTTTACTCAAAATTCAGAACAGCTCAATGAATGCTGATACAGCATTCACCTAGATCCACCACATTTGTTCCATCTCTCCTTCCCACGCCACCTTCCCAATGTTTTCCCTCAGCCGGATCTCTCACTGGTCCATAGTAAAGCCTTGGAGAATGAGAACTAGAAATGGAGGCCAAACACAAAATTTGCACTGGATTCAAAGTCATCACTGTGTCATAGATCTCTAGTCACCTGCTCCTCTGGACTGACATCAGTCCCCACCCCTGACCCTCACCTTCACACAACTCTCCTCCGGACTTTTATTGGGATTAAGTTGCAGGCATGATGTTACATGCATGTACCAAGAACAAGGACATCCCTTACATGGCCTTAACACATCACACCTGTGCACACCTATGACAGGTCTCCCATTGTCTGACAATGTCTTTTATGGCTGCTTTCCCTCCACCCAGAATCTAATCAAGGTAATAAAGGTGCACACGTTTCATTGGGCTTGTTCTTCCCTCTTTAGAGATTTTTTGATTGTTTAAGTTTAGGTTTTAAAAAGTACTCCTCCTTTTGGTTTCCCATAGCATTTCCTTTCTAAGCAGTGCAGACCAACAGCTTTAGAAGGCCACTCCACAAGATGGAATTGTTTGGCTGTTTCTTTCTGATTAAGATTCAGACATGTTTGTCAAGAATCCTACTAAATATTCTTACTGTACCCCATCAATAGTTATCAGTTCACCTCATTCTTGGTAACGGTAATTTTGCTGTGGCTCTATCCCATGTGAAAATGTATTTTAATCTCTGAAATTAGTAAATGATTTGTGGGTCGATACTTTGGGTACATGTAAGTACCCTGACTCCCAAACAGGAAGGAAAGTTTGTTCTTAATAGACTTGACACTTTTTCAGACAGCAGAAATTCAGAGAGAAAAAGTAATCACTCCACATATTCAAACTTGTTCCACTAAGGATCACAGTAGTTCCCTGCCAGGGCGTGGCAAGGAAAATGGTAGAGACTGAACTGTGTCCCATCCCCAGCCTATTCCCAAGTTCTTATGTTGAAGTTTTAACACCAACATGATGACATTTGGAGATATGGCCTTTGGGAGGTGGGTGGGCTTAGCTAAGACCATGGAGATAGGGCCTGCAGGTTGAGTTAGAGCCTCCGTAGGAAGAAATACCAGACAGCCCTCTATCTCCTCATGAGTCTGTCTGCCAAGTGGTGACACAGTGAGATGGTATCTTCAAGAAGATTTTCATCAGAACCTGACTATCCTGGCCCAAAGATCTTGGACTTCCAGGCTCCAGAACTGTGAGCAAAAATATTTCTATTGTTGATGCCTCCTAGTTGGTATTTTGGGATGGCAGCTTGAGCTAAAACAAGACAGATTTAATGCTAAAACCCTCATGCTAGTCTCCAGGATGTTATTTGATTCAGAAAGAGCTAATAAGTATAATACAGTTCTTTTCTATAATCTGAGAATCTGGGGGTTTTTGGTTGTTGTGTTTAGTTGCTAAGGGAAAGGGCAGGATTGGAACAGCGAATAACCTCAAAAGTTTATCCTAGTAGAGGGAACCTCTCAAAGCGAAGGCTGCACACAGGAGGGTCATCCTGACCCACCCCGACACCAGGTCCCTCATGCTGACTCCTTGTCTCTCCCTGCTAATGTCAGGGGCATAGACAAATGGATTTGCAACTCACTGTTGCCTCTCACGAGCTGAAAGACACTGATTATGTTACCCATCCCCTCCAAGTCCCAGTTTCCTTACCCATTAAAAGAGAACATTAAATGTAACTTGCCCACAGAGTTGTTAACTAGATTCTAAGAGGATTAATGACAGCATAGCGAGTGCCCCGCATACAGTAAGCATTCAATAAACACAGGAAAGGATGGATTATTAGAAATAATGGTAAAAGATTAAAATTCCCAACATACTGGAAAAGGTCAGTGGGCTCCCTGACAGCCTCTGTCCAGCATGGCACTGGGACTGAAGGACTGGAGACCCTGGTATGACTGCTCTCCTGGCAGATTCCAGGGTGCACCAGAAAGGAGTCCTGACCAATCTAGTTTCTGTTGGGGAGTGGGCATATGACAGACACACAGGCAGGTGATCTGTGATCTAGGTGAAGTAACCTGAGCATTGTTACAGAGGTGCTACCAAGAGGGAAGGGTGTCTGCTGAAGATATTCTCACAAGTGAACCTCCCAGGAGAGTACCTGAAGGGGCCAGCCTGGGAAGATGAGACGAGCTAGCTGTGCATACAGCTTGAAAGGCAGGACTGGGGGGTTGGGGGGGGGCGACAGCAAGTACAGGGGTGCAGGACAAGCCAGGGGGGCAGTGTGACAGGTGGGGATTCAGTGCATCTAAAGCCAAATGAATGAGAGCATGAAATGAGGCAGAGCCCTGGGCTGTGCAGACCATGGGAAGAGGGGAAGAGACAGAGAAGATTTTAACTGTGATAAAACACACAGCATATAACACCGACCATTTCAATCATTTGTCAGCATCGTGTTCAGGGGCTCTAAGCGCACGTAGGCAGCCATCACCATCACCCATCTCCACAAGTTCCATACCCACAATCTGAAACCCCATACCCTGCAATAGTGTTCCCCAACCCCTGACTCCACCACAGCCCCTGGAGGGTTTTCAACAAGAAGCTACGTCACCCAACTGGCATTCTGAGAAAAGCATGAATTAATGAAAGGGAAGCGAATGGCACATAAACCACCACAAAGCATGAGGAGCAGGAAGAGCAGAAGAGAGGATGGAGGTTTGCAAGAGCAGTGAGTGGGGCTGGAGGAAGAGAGACATTGTGAGAAGCCCTGAGAGGCAGGACTCCGTGTGGCCCCTTCTCCTCCAGGCCACTGCGTGGTGGGGGCGCTGGTGGTGGGAGGTACTCACAGCTGACCTGGGAGCCCAGTTTGTGCTCCCAGACGGCATGCAGCTGCTGGTACTCCTGCTGGGCCAGCTCCAGGCGCTGCTGCTTCACCTGGTAGATCTCCTTTTGTGCACTCAGGGCCTCCTGGGCCACCACCAGGTAGTCCTTCAGCATGTGCTCCTGCTCTCGCCGCCATTGAACCCGGGGGTCCTCGATCTGGGTGGTTTCTGGAACAGACCACAGAGACCCTGGGTCAGCACATCGCATGTATCTATCTGGTCAGAGGAATGTACTACCAGGAAACAAAAACACAATGAACAGCAAGCCACAGTAAATGGGAATGAGTCAAATTTACTATTGAAAAAAGAGACTCCTCATGTGGATGGGGCTAACAAACACAAGTAGGCTGGGACCTATTTTTAAATACCAAATCAGTGTATCAATATGTATGAGAATGGGTCCTTCCTGGTGGCGCAGCGGGTTAAAGCACTGCACTAAGAAGCGTAAGCCACTTCCGCATGAGTTCGATCCCTGCCTGCCCCGGAGAAGAGCCACATGGCGAGCCAGACCTCTCCTGACCCACCCGCTGCTCCCCTCAGCAGTGTACTTCGTCGATCTGCCTGTTCTGCTCCCCACTCTGTCTCTGGTAAAGCCTCTCACCCTCCGCATCTCTGGCCTGTACCCCAGTTCTGTATGAATGAATGAATGAATGAATGAATGAATGAATGAATGAATAAATAAATAAATAAATAAATAAATAAATAAATAAATAAATAAATAAATAAAGTATGTATGAGAATGGACAGGAGAAGGCCTAGTTATGAGCTCCAATCTAGAGAGAGGCTCAAGGGCATCTGTTTTGGTGAATAAAGTAGAATAACTAATATTTTGGAGGGTATGAAGAAACAGGCATTCCATTCATTGCTAGAAAGGTAAATTAGACAGCCTTACTAGAGGGCTCTCTGTGCAAATTGAGAGCCTTAAATCTTAATATCCTTGACCAATAATTCTCACACAGTAATATGGCATAAAAAATAATTATAAATCCAGACAAAGATGTATTTGTACAAACCACGATAATAATGAATACAAATAGCAAGCATTTCTTTAATGACTGTTCTATGCCAAGCACCAAGTACTTTATGGCTGTTTACTTCTTCAATCCTTACACTACCTATGCAAAGGAGATTCTACTGTTAACCCTTTCTACAAAAGAGAAAACTGATAAACAGAGAAGTTAAGTAAATTGCTGAAGGCCACACAGAAAGTAGCATAAAAAATAATTATGCTTTAAATAACATCAATATGGACATTGAAAATAATTCCCTTGAAGAAAAATGAATAGAAAGATGTTTACAATAAAAAAAAAATGGAGAGAGGCCCTCCCTGGTGGCGCAGAGGGTTAAAGCACTGCACTGAGAAGCTAAAGCCACTTCCGCATGAGTTCGATTCCCGCCTGCCGCCTGGCACGGCAGACCTCTCCTGACCCGCCCCCTGCTCCCCTCAGCAGTGTACTTCGTTGATCTGCCTGTTCTGCTCCCCACTCTGTCTCTGGTGAAGCCTCTCACCGCCCCTGAGCCTCTGGCCTGTACCCCAGTTCTGTATGTACAAATAAATAAATCTTTAAAAAAAAAATGGAGAGAAAATGCAAGGTACAAAACTGCATAGATAATTTTATATGGATCAGAATCAGTCTGTGTAGTCTCAAAGAGATGTGGAGGAAACTTAGCCCAGTAGCAGTAGCAGATGTCTCTTGGTGGCAGGATACTTTTTCTTCATTCTTTTTAGGTTTTTAAAAAGATTTATTTATTTATATATACAGAACTGGGGTACAGGCCACAGGTGCAGGGGCAGTGAGAAGATTCACCAGAGACAGAGTGAGTTGCAGAACAGGCAGATTGACGAAGTACACTGCTGAGGGGAGCAGAAGGCAGGTCAGGAGAGGTCTGCTGCGCCATGTGGATCAGCTCCAGGGTGGGGATCAAACTCGTATTGAGGTGGCAGAGGTTACCTTCACTTTAACACACTGCATCACAAGGGAGAGGCACTTTCTTTTCAATTTTTAAAAATTATGTGTACAGGGCCTTCCTGGTGGGTCAGGGGTTAAGTCTCGGCACCATCACCTTTACCACCTGAGTTAGATCCCCTGCCAGGGAGGTGGCCCAATTGGCCCAGTAGACTTCTCCTGCCTCACCTGCTGCTTCCCTCCGCAGTGTACTTCATTGATCTGCCTGTTCTGCTCCCCACTCTGTCTCTGGTGAATCCTCTCACCCTATGTACCCCTAACCTACACTCCAGTTCTCCTATGTAAAGAAAAAAATTATGTGTACAATAATTTGGGAGAAAAAAGGTCAAAGAGAACATCTGACAACTGACCAGACAAGGCAGAAACCAAAACAATGTCACAAAATCAATACCACTGACTCTCCACTCCTCAGTCATTTCCAGGTAGTGGGAGGGTGCTGGGGTCACTGGCCCACTAGAAGTTGTACTACCGTACTGCTAAATTCAGCCTGCATCTGCAGGTTTAACTTAGCTCAAAGAATTATTTAATTAATGTTAAATCAATCACTGGTTGTAAAAACAGGAGCTTTGTGTATTAAAATCCTGATTTCCGGTTCCTCTTGATCATTCAGAAGATCTGGACACCTTGGGTCCTCCCTTCACCACAAACCCAGCATCCCATCTGGGAATACTTCATCTGTCTCATTACTGTCATGTGACTGGTTCCTGAAGAATTCAGAGCTTGGCCTTTTAGCTCTCATTCCTCCTGAAAAGGCCAGAAAGAGCATCCCCAGTGAAAGCAAGAAGAGACAGGATGGATCACAGGGGCAGCAGGGCTAAGCCCTCATTTCTGCCAATGACCCCGCCCTACATAGAAGGCTGTTGACCTCTCAGTCTACTTCTGTAATTAGTAAAGGGGATAATGGGCCCAGAGTCACAGATTCTCAGGAAGCTGTAAAGCTATTCAGCCCAGGTAAAGCAAACAAATGATGGTGAGAGTAAAACCAAGCTGTTCCCTAAGACCAGAGTCTGAATGGGCTGTGAACAGCAATTCTTCAAGCTCTTCCCCCTCCCTTTTTCTGAGGAACAAAAGGAGGTCAGAAGATTGTAGGCAGGGGTCACAAGATTGCTTCCCATAAGGAAAGCTTTGCAAGGTGTCAACCATGCAAGAAGAAGGAACACTGACAAGGAAAGAAGACAAAGGGGAGGAGAGAGTTCATAAAGCTGGTTCCCACCTCAGGTCAGGGAGTCCTCTTGGGGAGGGAAGGTGGGCAGTCACACACTTCTTGCTGACACAGGCCCACAGAAAGAAACTTGGCTGTCATGGCCAGGTTGGAGGTAAAACAGATGTGGCTAAGAGACCAGTGGAGAGGTTGACTATGGCAGCATTTATCTTGATTTGATTTTGCTCTTTTCCTCCCAGACTTGTCTGGCCATTTCTGACCCTTTTCTATGGGTCCCGGCAAGAAGGAGCTGTAGTCTTGTGTCTGGCTTTTAGGCCTTGCTTTGGGTCAATCCCTTTTGGGTAAACTTTAACCCACGAGGGGATGGGTAACTTTGGATGTCTGATTTAAAACTATATTCTTTGTCTTTTCTGTGTTGCACATAGATTGTATTAAAGTTCCTTTCCATTAAAGATCTTATATGTTTTGTCTTGACGCAGTGGATGGCAGAACTTATTTAGAGCAGGCAGGTCTGGGGGTTCAGGGATGCCCCTCTCTCCCTGACCAATAACAGAGGGACTTTGTAAAGTTTGCAATTTTAAAAAATGTGAAGATTTGAAATGCTGAAAATATAAAAAGGAAAAAACCTCACAATTCCACCAGTGCGAATGTATAACACAAGAAGCGAGAGCTTTCCTTTCGCCAGTCAATCTGATCCCTCAGAGACAAGTACTATTAGGAGTCTCCTCTACTAACAGCTAAGGCCCGATGATGATAAACAAATCTCTTTGGAGACACATGTCTCTCTGCTCAAGCTTGTTTTTAATGCAACGTGGCACAAGGTCTTCTACGTTAGTCTCAATGGGCTCTCGTTTCCAAATGACCGACCACGTTCATCCCTCTTTAGAGGCATACAGCACTAGCTAATCTTTCATGTTTTTCTTCAGTTTTATTATTGCTTGTATTATTTCTATATTTAACTTTCCACAGTCTTTTCAGAGGCTGAATAACATACCACAATGTAGAATTAGGGCTTATGTAACCAGACCACTAGGGTGGATTCTTAAAAACCCACTTTTATGAAATTGTGCTATTAAATCCTGTAGGTGAGATTTCTTAAGAAATGACCAGGTCAGAGGGTATAACTATTTTAAACTTTAATAGATACTAAACAAATGATTGCCCAAAAGGTTGTAGCAATTTTTTTCTTTTGCCATGGTTTTGAGTGACTGTTCAGATTCTCAGCAAAATAGTGGATAACAGTATTTTGAGGCCTGGCAGTGCATTAGAATCAGTTGAAGAGCTTCAAAAACCAAAACCATAAAAAGTCTGAACCTGGTGCAAAAACACTTGGATCAGAATTTCTAGGAGTGGGAGCCAGGCTTCCAAAGCTTCCAAAACCTGCCCAGGCGCCTGCCTTGCAGAAGTGGCCGAGACCTTGGCTACACGTTAAAATCATCTGGGGGATTTTTAAAATTCTGATTCTCAAGCCCCACTCCTGGATCAACGAAGTGGGAATCTCTGGGGGTGGGAATGAGGCAATGGTGATTTGAAAAGCTCCCCAAACAATTTCAGTGTGTCACCAAAGAGGAGAGCCATTGTTTAAGAAGTAATGCCGGCCCTCCCTGGTGGCACGGCGGGTAAGAGCACAGCACTGCAAAGCTGGCCCCAGCTGCTTCAGTACGAGCTCTATCCCAGCTCCGGAGGTGACCACATGTCCCGGCAGACCTCTCCTGACCCGCCCACTGCTCCCCTCAGCAGTGTACTTGTCGACCTGTCTGTTCTGCTCCCCACTCTGTCTCTGGTGAATCCTCTCACAGCCCCCTGCACCTCTGGTCTGAACCCCAGTTCTGTATGCATAAAAAAAAAAAAAGTAATGACTAGGACAAAGTGGTCAGGTGAGATGCTGAGCTCCAGGTAGAACCACCTGCTGAAATGTTAGCCTTTGATGGATGCCCTTGGGGCACACTTGGGCACCTAGGGGCTCTGGCTTACTCTGGGAAGGGCACTCATAGGTTGGGGCCCTGCTCATTGGAATATAAAAGTATATTAATGGAAGG